TTACACAAGGGGAACTTTCTCAGGCTTAACCGTCATGCCTCTAGTTAATGGAAAGAGATTTGCTTTTGGTTTCGTATGTGATTTATGTAAATAATCTCTAAAAAAAAGAAAGAAAAAAAATGCATCTGTGGCCTTTGACTGATTTTAAGTTATTTTGTATTTGGATTTTAGGTTAACGTTCAGATATATTATGCAAGGTATGTGATGACTCGCTTGAACTGGTGGCACGAATATTTTCCTATTTGAAGAAATATTAGAGGAATCAAAGGTAACTGAACTTTTCTTTAGGCGCACACTAGATAACTCCTATTTATCATATAAAAATCAAATTTAAAAATTAAATCAGACTCTAAATCAAACAAAAAATATTTGATAAAAAACAATAATTTAGAAAGAGTTGTCAACTTAGAAGCCTTGTACTCAAAGAGCCTTATACCAGACGCGCCCCAGCCAAGCAAGCGGCGGAGAAGCGCACGGGAGGCCAAGGCAGGGGCGGTCGGCGAGGGCGTAGGTCGTGCCGCGGTTAAGGTCCGGGCGTCGTGTGTGTGCGTGCGTGCTTGTGTGCGCCTCGAACCCTGTGCACCGGGTGTTAAGTGCGAGGTTGCTCACTCTCACTCTCATGTGATTCTCGTGCGTGTGTCGTCAGGGCAGCGCCACTGATATATCCATGACGTGTAACGCAGTTTGTATCTCACTGAACTCACTTCCATTATCAAAACTCCCTTGGTTATGATACTTCTCCTAAGGCACACCAGTGGCTTGTCTGACGCACCTCAATGTTCCTACTTTTTTCTCTGATTTTTCCTGGGTAAAATCACCTACCACGTTTTTCTGTCCTCACCTAAGCCAGTGACATATATATGTGTTTATAGCAAAATTGTGTAATGGGTTACAGTGTTATTTCTTCACCCCAAAAGTTTGATTAAGAAATGTACAAGCATGTTTCCTGATCTTGGTGTGTATATATATATATATATATATATATATATATATATATATATATATATATATATATAATAATATATATTATATATATATATATATATATATATATATATATATATCTATATATATATATATATATATATATAATATATATATAATATATATATATATATATAATTATATATACACACTATTCATATTCACACACACACACATTCATATACATATACATATATACATATTTGTAAACACACACACACACACACACACACACACACACACACACACACACACACACACACACACACACACACACACACACACACACACACACACACACAACACACATATATATATGCATATGTATGTGTGTATATATATATATATATATATATATATATATATATATATATATATATATATATTTTTTTTTTATTATTTATTTTTTTTTATTTATGTATATATAGTATATTATTATATATTATGTATATATATATTATATATATATATACTGGCATAAAAGAGATGAAATATACGACTTCGTTATTTTCTACATTGTTCCTCCGTAAACTACTCAAGTTCCAGATGAACAAATAAGCTTCTAAGCTTCAAATAATACTTCTAGGATTGGGGGGGGGGCAGGGTCATTGTATTGCATATTGGTGTGACATTATTATCAAGTTCATTATCTGATTATTTAATATTATTTTCATTGCTATTACTATTAACGTTGAAATACTATTATTATTGTTACTTAAATTAATGTTAGTATTACCATTATTACCATTGGTGGTAACAGTAATAGTATTAACAGTAGCACAAGTATAGTACTAATATCAGTAGTCGTAATATTTTCATGATCATGTTATTCTCAATAACAAAAAAGAAAAAAAAGTATTCATAATCTTAGCAACGCCCATCCCTGCAACAGATACCTCAAATAGAGAAGCGGGAAGAGGAGCGCAGTCAGAGCAGCAGACGCCCGCCGCCTCCGAGTGGCTGCCGACGCGCCGAGGCCCGAGGGAGGAGGACGCGCACGGCGGCGAGTGAGGAATCCGCGAGGAAGTGGAGAGGAAGTCGCCCTTCGCTGCTCGCGCAGTGGAGGCGCCCTTCGCTGCTCGCGGGAGGAAGTGGAGGCGCCCTTCGCTGCTCGCGGGAGGAAGTGCCCCTTCGCTGCTCGCGGGAGGACTCGTGGGAGAGAAATGAGACTGGGAAGGAGATTTATGTGGGAAATCTGATGAATATGTTTATATATAACATAAATATGTATGATATATAGATATAATGTGATGCGGTTCTAAGTTAAAAGGTGAAACCGAAAATTTCATAAAGCAAAAATATAGAAATATAATAATGTATGCTCGTATTGCACCGTCACTAAAATTCCAGTTCGTAAATCTTAGATTTAAAATGTAATACAAACAGGCTCAGCTTAAAACAAACGACAACCCGAGGTGCTGTTCTGATATTACTTATTTCCAAACATAAGTTCCCTTCCTGTCTCACTCGAGATGTGAATGCGACGACGCCTCTCCCTTGAGCGTTGATATTATCTGTGATAAAAAGTACAATCTTGGCAGCCTGACCTTTCAAACTTTCATTGACGACAACGAGACATATGATAGATATATGGAATTGCATATTTATATAGAGGTAAATCTTCACGAAGTCTATTTGCACGTAACTTAGCATACATCCGTCCATACCGCTGTGTGTGCGGAACGGAGTGGAGGAACAAGGCTGTATCCCAGGAACAAGGTAGTTTGCGGCAACTGACGAGGATTTGGTCACGAACTCATTGTAAGCGAGTTGAAAAATCGTTTGAAATGAAGTAATACATGGTACTTTTTGGTGCGTCCAGGTCAGTGAACATTTGTGATCCTTTCCGTCCACAAAGATATACATTCCGGAAGTTGGAAGAATTGCCCACTGTGATATATCACTAATTATATGTGTGTCAACCACAGTTTCTTCGCGAAACCGTCAAGAGAACATGCAGGCCTTGCATAGTGAATGCTAAGCTACCGCCAACGAAACTCGACCTAAAGAAGTCCGGTTCGAATCCATCATTCTCAGAAATGATGTTGCATTCGAATCATCCATGAGTGTCTGATGTATCTACACACGAGCTAAGAATTATATAAATGTATGTACAATCTAAATTATGGCAGTATGTCTGTATAGATAGTCGTAGGATCGAACCATTGCACAAGGAACATTATGGAGTTACTCGGGACGTTTGAGAAGTAGAAATGTACAAAACTATAATTTTCTCCTTATTCACACCATCATGCGTATGGCAAGTGCGTCTGGTACTGCTTCATGTGACACGTTTCCTGAGCGATTTCTCTACGTGGTCTTTTCATTTCCTCACTTGTCAATATGCGTGACTAGACTTGAGTC